ACTTAGAACATTTTATAGGAAATTAGAAAGTAAAGGATATGGGCAAGGTCCAGGAAAATTAAAGTAAGAATTTATAATAAAAGCTATAAAAACGATAAAAATATATTTATTTAAATAAATATGTTATATGTTTTTTTCATATTTTATGTAGATTGCACATTAGAAGAGAACATTTTTTAGAAGACGCTTTTACTCGCATTATGGCTGCTTCAAAAAAGGATTTACAAAAAAGTAAATTAGTAATTATGTTTGATGAGGAAGAAGGTGTAGATTATGGTGGTCCATCCCGTGAATTTTTCTTTCATCTGTCACGAGAACTTTTTAATCCTTATTATGGGTTATTTGAATATTCTGCTAATGATACTTATACTGTACAAGTATCGCCAATGTCAGCTTTCGTAGATAATTATCATGATTGGTTCAGATTTTCAGGCAGAGTTTTAGGCTTAGCTTTAGTTCATCAATATTTGCTAGATGCCTTTTTTACGAGACCATTTTACAAAGCTCTTTTGAGAATACCAGCAAGTTTAAGTGATTTAGAGAGTTTAGATCAAGAATTCCATCAAAGTTTAATGTGGATTAAAGAAAGAGATATAAGTATCGAACCATTGGAATTAACTTTTTCGGTCACAGAGGAACTTCTCGGACGAGTAGCTGAACGTGAATTAAAACCAGGAGGTAGAAATATTGCTGTTACAGAGAAAAATAAGAAAGAATATCTTGAAAGAGTTGTACGTTGGAGACTCGAACGCGGTATTGCTGAACAAACGGAATCTTTAGTTCGTGGATTTTATGAAGTTGTAGATCCACGATTAGTATCAGTCTTTGATGCACGAGAATTGGAATTAGTAATAGCTGGAGCAGCAGAAATTGATCTTAATGATTGGAGAACACATACAGAATACAGGAGTGGTTATCACGATGCTCATCCAGTAGTAGAATGGTTTTGGAGTAGTATAAGTCGATTTACTAATGAACAACGATTGAGATTATTACAGTTTGTTACTGGAACATCAAGCATTCCATATGAAGGATTTGCAGCTTTACGTGGATCTACAGGACCACGAAAATTTTGCATTGAAAAATGGGGAAGACCAAATAGTTTACCCAGGTATAAATATTTTTATTTTGAAAATAATTAAATAAAATTTTATTTATGTAATTACTATGTTGATAATTTTCAAATTTATTGATAATTTATTGTTTCATTTATTTGGTAATATTATTTTTTAAACTAGATATTTTTCAGAGCTCATACATGCTTCAATCGTTTGGATCTTCCACCATATCCTACACCTGAAATTTTATATGAAAAACTTTTATTGGCTGTAGAAGAAACAAATACTTTTGGAATAGAATAAAACAATTTGTTATGATTACAGCAAGAACATAAGATATAAGAAAAATATTATGAATGAAATGGAAATATTATGGATTTAAAGGTACATTATGATTATTCATAATACATGATTATTCTCATATTTAAAAACTCATGATTGGATTTTTAAAATCACTACAATCAAAACTGTATCAAAATGTATATATTTAATAGAAACAGTGTTGCGCATATTTTGAAAATTTTAAAATATTGTATACATGTTGCTGTAATCTATTTATATTAAAATTAAATAATAATTCGCGCAGTACATTTCTTATATAAAAATTATAGATTTAATACATTACAAAAAAAAATACTTAGACATAGATATATGCAATTACTTTTATTCAAATATCGATGGTTATAAAAAATGTTGAAAGAATACACACACACATATTGTAGGTATAGTATAGAACAAAAATTAAATTTGAAATTGATACAAGAATAGATGATTTATTTAATATAATTTCTATAAAAACAAAAAATTTTTTCTTATTTTATAAAAATATTCTTTTAAATTTTTTATAAAATTTGTCGCATTTTATAAAAACATGTAATGTAGCTATTCTATTGTTTTTTTAATTTATAGGTATACTGATTTCTAGTCTATATTTTTAAATATTAAATTATGCAGCTACTTCTTCAATATTTTTAGACATTCCATATCAATTTATTTAATATTTTCATAATTAACTTAGAATGTTTTGTAAAGAAGAATGTTTATAAAGCAAAAAATTTTTATTATAATAAATATTTAAAAATATCTTTTTATAAGATATCATATAGTTTTATAAACATTTTTTCAATATGTTTTATATTATTTATCTTTAGCTTAAGATAAAAATTTCAATTTATTATTAATTATTTGTAAAATTATTTGAAGTTAATGAATAGTTAACAAAAATATAAATAGTATGTGAAAAATATAAAATCAATGAAAGTAACATGAATAATAATTTATTATTCAGTCTTTTATTTCATATTTAATATTAATATATACATTTTATAGAATTTTTTTTGATACATAAAATATTAATTTCATTTATTTAACATTTTAAAACTAATTTTAAAACTTATGCTACAAAAATATTATAATATTATAATATTACTTGAAAAATTGTGAATATTTAAATACTCTTATGCTTCAAAATTTACTCTAGCTCTTGAACTTTAATCTTGCTTTTGTGATTTTAATATAAAAAATTTTCGTCTATAAATCATTTAGTTCTTATCTTAAAATAAAAAAGAAGAACATATATGCAATAAAATATATAGATTCCTGTAATTTGCAAGAACTAATAAAACTTTATTTATATTTTTTCTGATACAAAATTGTATTAAAGGACAATTTAATAAAATTACTTGTAGAATTCAAAATGAAATATTAAATATTTACAAACATGGATAAAATAAATAACTTACATTATTAAATATAAAATATAAAATCATTTTTGTATATTATTTATCTTAAAAATTTTATTTAAATGATTGTTTGATTTTGTGTGATGATAACAATATCGATAATTAATAATAACAACATTAATATAATAAAAATAATATTTATTAAATGGAAATAATAATATTATGTGATTGTTGAAAATAAGTTGCACTTTATAATGTCTGTAAACTAGTCATATAGCATGGCAAATTATAGTATTTAGTATGTATTGTATAAGTTTTGGACATTATAATCATAGAAAACACAATATTTACAATGAATCATGAGTGTGTGAGATTCTTTATTGTTAAAGAAAATAAAATGTGCCTCTTTTGTTATGTTACATTAAATATTATTATTTTTTCCTTATACATAGTTTCCAAACTTTTTTCATGTAAAAATTATAATAACTATGTTTTTTAATTAATAGTAGTTAAAATTTTATAAAAAATAAAATATTCCGAAAAATTTAAAATTTAATGATTGATCTTTTTGAAATTTTAAAAAAAAATTTTATAATTATATATTTATTTTTTAAGATGTAAATTTATATATTATTTATCACATTAAGTAAAAAAAACTAAGTATTTTTTATTTATTTTTTTAAAAATATTTTAAAAAATAATTAAAAAATATGCAATGGTTGATAATTATTTAAAGTTTTATACAAAATCGAATTGATGGATTTTTAACAAGAAAAATTGATCAATAAAGTTTTTAATCATTTCGCATATATATTTATTATTATAATAATATGCAATAGAAATGCATTATATTTACATCATAAATTTGATATTATATTGTATGAATTTATTTTAAAAAATATAAGAATTTATTATTTTAGTATAAGATTCTCAATAAATATTTATTTAACAAAAATATGACAAATGACTGATACTGCAGTCTATGCATACGCATAGTGCAAAATCTGTTTAAATCAATAAACGTCAGGTTATGAAGGTCACGACAGGATATAAGAACAAAAATAATGAGGATAAAAAAGACAGTATCGTACTAAATATAAAAAAAATCAATTAAAAATTAAAATTAATTTTAAAATATATATTTAATATATTATCATAAATTAATTTTTATATTTTAATTTTATATATCATTCATAATATATAATTAAAAAATATACTTATAAAATAATATTTTATAAGTATTTTATTTCTTTTTTAAAAATAAAAAATATATATTTATAATAATATATTGATCAGATATTTTCAAGAATTATTTATTTTTCAATTTTTTTTATATAATACTAAAATTACGTTTTTACATTTTTTATTATGATAAAATTACAAATGATAATATAAATATATGTAAATAACATATTCAATCATTAAAAAAACATTTTTCTAACATAATGTTTCGCAATATAAAATAAATATAATTTTATATATCTTAATGAATATTGATGTTTAAATAAATGTTATATTATTATTATCAGAATATTTTAATTTTTTCCAAAATATGAATATGAATTTTAATATTAAAGAATTAATAAAATTTAAAATAAATATTTATGTTCATATATTATAATATATAATAATATTAAAATTTAATTTTATATATTCTAGATTAATATAATATGATGGAATAAAATAATAATTAAAAATGTATTTACCTTCTAAAACATGAATAGCATTTTGAGAGCCATAGAAAGATTAGAAATTAATTTTTTAACAATATCAAAAACATATAAATATAATGTTTTTATTAAAAATAATTTATATATATATAATATGCAATAATTATATATATAAATATGCAATATGTAATATTATTTAATAATTCTTATTATTTTATTTTTTGAGAATAAAATGTTATTATTATCTAAATGAAAATAATTAAAAATTTTAAATTCAATGATTTTAATAAAAATTTTAATTAAATTTAAATTAACTTTCATTAAATTTATTATGTAAAAAAATTATGTAAAAAAAAAACTATAAAATAGTCTAAATGTTATAATTACTTTTCAAAATACGAATGATTTACAAATGTTATCAATAAATTAAGAATGATTATTAAAGTAAAATTTTCGTATTTTAAATATTTAATAAAATATTTAGAAAAATAATTTGAAAAAATAAGCGACACCCACGCAGGTTACAGGCCTGACAACGCATGATATCCGCCGACAATGCTGCTTCATATGCGCAGAGACAAGTCGTACAGCGCGCGCGCACATTTAGTTCGACGCGTTTGCGTTAAACTTTGTCTAGACTTCTCATCGATTGGTTTTTAGGGAACCAAGTATATTCAAAAAAATCATTTTCAGATTTAGCATAGAATAGTAATGTATTAGAAAACAAGATCGTCGCGTATTATTTATCGTCCATGTTCTTTTTTCAATCTAATATAAGTACAATCGTTGATTCTCACCTTTGCACACGCAAATCAATCCACCCGCAAAATCATCGAACAACGGCAGCCATCTTTACTGGCTCCGAAACGGGCTGTGGTTTGTGACAGAGAGACGGTAGTGGTTCTTCATGTGGTTCACGCGACCATCTCATCGCCTATGCACCCTACGAGAGATTGGAAATCATTTTTAAGTGTGGCTAATTAGAAGAACTAAGGAACTCGTCTCACGAATTCGAGCTACCAAAATATGGCAATGGAGACGCCAAGGGAGCGTGAGATTGCCGCGGAGGACAGTATTAAGGTAGTCTGTAGATTTCGACCTTTGAACGACTCCGAAGAAAAAGCTGGTTCGAAATTTATCGTAAAATTCCCTTCTGGCGGTGAGGATAATTGCATCTCTATCGGGGTATGTATTTTACGTCATTATCTTTTTTAATTATTATGTTCGTTAACCGTGTTCAGCTTATGTGTGATGTCATCGTGCACAGCTGACAGCTGCTCTTAGTCCTTCTCTTTGCCCAATATCTTATCTGTAAACCGCATGCTGTGCATTTTACACGTATTACAAAATTTTTTCGAACAATGCACGTTGATTCACTTTTGTTATTTTCAATAAAATAAATTTAATTTCATCCTCATCGGTGTTCATTTTGCTGAATGATTTTCTTACGTTGACATATCTAAGTGATCGATTAAATCTTAATTCAAAATAATATAATAAATATATTAACGATTTTTTTTTGTTTTATTTCACTGTTTTAATTCATTCAAAAGTCAATTTTTATCTTAACAAACTTTAGATTTATATCAATAAATGTAAATTCAATTTTACGAAATATTTAATTGAATTCGTTATATTGTAATTTAATAAACGATTTTATTTTTTTATAATTGCTTTTTATAATGTTTTCATAAAATATATGTATACTTAATGTTTTTTAATATATTATGTGAATTTGATGATTTCATCAGCATTGAGAAATAAATTCTCATTTTAAAAGATAGATAAAATATAGAGATTATCAAATCATTTTAAAGATTAGTTTTTCTAATAGATAGAAAATAAATTTAATATAAATTTAATATAATTTTAATATAATATTTTAATATAATTTTAATATAAATTTATAATGCAAGATAAATTTAATAATGTAAAATAAAATTATATATAAAATTATATATTTTTATAATTATCTATAATTTATATATTAAAATATATATTAATATATAAAAAAATCATTAAACAGAATTGCAATTCTGTATTATTTATGCCTATTAAATTAAAACTTGAAATTATTTCTAATATTATTTCTATTATTTTTAAATATGTTATGATTTGAAATATATTGAAATGCATATATATTATTTTTAAATAGATATGTTTATAAATGTATCATTTTTTTCTCATATGAAAGCCTTTTAATATAATGCTTAGTAAAGATATTGCTATTGTTTCAAGAGGTTTCTGAAACAAAGCTTTATTGAGTGCAATTGTCCTCCTTTTTCCTTATATTCTTCTATAGAGATTTAGAAATGTCTTTTCTTATTTACGATTTCCATGTTATATTTTCTATTTTATTTTATTCATAATTTATTATGAAATATATAATATAAAAATAAAATTTAAATTAAAATTAGATTAAATCATTACTTATTCAAAGTTGATAAATATTTATATTTGTATATATTATATTATATTATATATTTTTAGTTATTTTTTAAAATCAATTATTTAAATTATCATTTTTATTCAAAGATTTTAAGACTTTCATAATAAAATGAAAGTAATAATAAAAAATAATGATTAAAATTAATAAAATATTCAAAAAAATACAAGCTTTTTTATAAATCATTATTTTGCATAATTAAATAATTTAATATTTTATCAAAAATAATGAAATTTTTTTTTTGATAATGATTGATTCTTTCTTATTAAATAATAGAATTTTTTTTAGCTATCATATTTATTAATTTTAATATTACAATAATAGTAAATAATTTGTTTTATAATTTTTCGATTTATATTTTTCTATCTTTTTATATATATAATCATTTAATTTTTCATCTATCTTACGATGAATGAAAAAATCCATCACTCGGACTCGTCTATTCATAATTTTCATAATAATCTTCTAATCATCAATATTCATAATTTCCAGTTTGTTGAAGTTTCTTAACACTATTTTATGATTTCAATAAAAATTTTTTTATTTTTTATATCATCGAAATTTGCCTTATTCATAAGTCTTTTCATCATCGCTACCGAAGTTCATTGCATGAATAGTTTATTAATTAAAACTGTTATAACATTTTTTCTTTCATTGTGTTCTTTTTTTATTATTTACAGAAATTAATATCTAATTTAATCATCAATTTTCGTTGATCTTTATGATTATTATTATTATTATTTAATATTATAATATATAATATCTATAATTGCAAAATTTTATTTCATTTTTTTTGAAATTTTTAAATACCTAATATGACTATTTTATCGCACTTTCCTTTCTCTTTGAGATTCAATCAGATATTCAAAAATATTTAAAAATCTTATTTAATTGAAGAATTACAAACTTTAATTAAAAATTTAAACCACTCTGATATAAAAATTTATAATGCTAGATTATATTTATATGTTTATATAAACCAAGACAATGTATACATAGCTGACATTGATCAAGAAAACAAAGAATATTTTGTCCGCGGCTATATTATTATAACGGAACATGTTTTAGTATATTATATTTTTCATTACGTAAAATATTTACTTAATTATTAAACATTCTATTTTATATAGTTAATATGAATATGTTCATAAATACAAATTAATAAAATAAAATAATATATTAATGTATAATTTAAATGATTTACATTGTATAATTAAAATTTTCTGAAATTTACAATTGTTTCCAGATTTTTCATGACAATATTATATTTTTTAGGGAAAAGTATATCTTTTTGACAAAGTTTTTAAACCAAATGCTACTCAAGACAAAGTTTACAATGAAGCGGCTAGATCAATTGTCACAGATGTGTTGGCAGGGTATAACGGCACTATTTTTGCATATGGTCAAACATCTTCAGGTAATTAAAATACATATTATGTAGAATTGTTGATTTTTTATTAGTTATAAAAATTAATAATTATTAATTCTAATTATAAAATTTTGTAGAATGAATTTTATTTAAAAAATATTATTTTAATAAAATATTTTTTTAATAAAATATTTATGCATAAATTAGGAAAAACACATACTATGGAAGGTGTTATTGGAGATCCAAATAAACAAGGTATTATTCCCAGAATTGTTAATGATATTTTCAATCATATTTATGGTATGGAAGAAAATTTGGAATTTCACATCAAGGTATCATATTTTGAAATCTATATGGATAAAATCAGAGATCTTCTTGATGGTAAGAATATTATTATCTATGTTTAATTTTTTTTATATTTAATGTAACACACCTTCTTAATTAAAATTAATTATTTTCTAATTTCTTTTATTTTTAGTTTCTAAAGTGAATTTAAGTGTGCATGAAGATAAGAATCGAGTTCCATTTGTAAAAGGTGCAACAGAACGCTTTGTATCTAGTCCTGAAGAAGTATTTGAAGTTATAGAAGAAGGAAAATCAAATAGGCACATTGCAGTAACTAATATGAACGAACACAGTTCACGTTCTCATTCTGTATTTTTAATAAATGTAAAACAGGAAAATTTAGAAAACCAAAAGAAGCTTTCTGGAAAATTATATCTTGTTGATTTGGCTGGTTCAGAGAAGGTGCATTATAATATATCTATTTCATAAAATTTCTATATTCTTTTTTTTTTTTTTTTTTCAAATAAAAATATATTATTAAAATATAAGAATATATTAATTTTATTTCTATATTTTAGGTTTCTAAAACTGGAGCAGAAGGAACTGTTCTAGATGAAGCAAAAAATATCAATAAATCTCTATCAGCACTTGGCAATGTAATTTCAGCTTTAGCTGATGGAAATAAAACTCACATTCCTTATCGTGATTCAAAATTAACTAGAATTTTACAAGAATCTCTTGGTGGCAATGCCAGAACTACAATTATTATTTGTTGTTCACCAGCTAGTTTCAATGAATCAGAAACAAAATCGACATTAGATTTTGGTAATAGAAAAATTTCTTGATTTCTTTTTGACAAATAAAATTTTTCAATTATTACATTACTTATTTTTTTAGGTAAACGTGCTAAAACTATTAAGAATGTTGTATGTGTTAATGAGGAATTAACAGCTGAAGAATGGAAACGTCGCTACGAAAGAGAAAAGGAAAAAGCAGCTAGATTGAAAGGAAAAGTTGAAAAATTAGAAGCTGAATTATCGCGTTGGCGACAGGGTGAAACTGTTAAACCTGAAGAACAAGTTAATTTGGTTGAAGGACCAGATGTTACAACACCAATTAATATGTCTATTGAAGGTAGTATCTAATTTATTTTTTGAAAATAAAAATGTTACTATGTTATATATATATGTTATAAATTATAATCATTTTCAGGTAAACTAGATGACGGTCCGATGCCAGCTACTCCTGGTGGCAATTTAATGGCTGGATCTTTATCTAATGAAGAAAGACAAAAATTGGAAGAAGAACGTGAAAGACTTTATCAACAGTTGGATGATAAAGATGAAGAAATTAATCAACAATCACAATATGTTGAGAACTTAAAAGAACAAATTCATGAACAAGCAGAATTAATTGCTACTGCAAGACGTGAATATGAAAAGCTTCAACAGGAAGTAAATCGAACACAGCAAGAACATGAACGGGCTAAGGAAGAAGTTAAAGAAGTTTTACAAGCATTGGAAGAATTAGCAGTTAATTATGATCAGAAATGCCAAGAGGTATTTTTTGTATTAATTTTTTTATATTATTTTTATTGAAAAATATAGGAATATATATTAAATTACTATATTCATTTTCATAGTGTGATATTAAAAAGAAAGAAACTGAAACTTTAACAGAAGAATTATTAGCAAAACAAACGACATTAAACAGTACGGCTTCAGAATTACAACAACTACGCGATATGTCAGCTCATCAAAGGAAACGTATTGCGGAAATGCTAGCAAACTTCTTGAAAGATTTAGGTGAAATTGGGGTTGCAATTGGTGGTGATGAAAATCTAAAAGTAAATCTTATTTATTAAATTATTTAAAGAATTTTTTAATTTTTTATATTAATAAAATATTAAAAATTTTATATTTTTTAGGTTGCACCTACGGAAAGTAATGGTAAACTTGAAGAAGAATTTACTGTGGCAAGACTGTTTATTAGTAAAATGAAATCAGAGGTGAAGAATTTAGTACAACGATGTCAAGGATTAGAAAGTTTCCAAGTAGACTGTAACAAGAAAGTAAGCATTCGATTTCATACTTTTTGAATTTATTATATTTAATTTTTAATTATGATACTCATTCATAAATTTTATTTTAGGTTGCTGAATATGAAAAAGATTTGGCTGAATGTCGATTATTAATTTCTCAACATGAAGCTCGTATGCAAACATTAACAGAATCAATGAAAGTAGCAGAAGCACGTAAACGTGCTTTAGAAGAAGATGTTGATGCTTTACGCGAAGAATGTGCCAAGTTAAAAGCTGCAGAACAGGTACAAGCAGTTACAAATAAAGAAAAAGCAGAAGAAAAAGAAGCAGCGACAAAGATGAGAGTGGCACTGGAAGAGCAAATGGATCAATTGCGAGATGCTCATCAGAAACAAGTAATACATGTTAAATACATTATTCATTACATTATTATATGTTATTGTTATTATTATTGTTATTGTTATTAATTATATAGGTCGCAGCACTTAGAGATGAATTATCTGAAAAACAAGAATTGATTAGTGAACTTAAAGATTTGAATCAGAAATTCACATTGGCTCATCAACAAATGCAAGCAGATTATGAACGATTAAAACAAGAAGAAGCAAATAAATCTGTTAAATTGCAAGAATTGATTTTGCTTAATGAACGTCGTGAACAAGTATGTATAAATTTTACAAAATATAAGAGCAATTAAAAAAATTTATACGATTATTAATGTTTTTTTTTTTTATATAGGCTCGAAAAGATCTTAAAGGTCTAGAGGAAACAGTAGCCAAAGAACTTCAAACATTGCATAATCTACGCAAGTTATTTGTTCAAGATCTTCAAACTAGAATAAAGAAGACTATGATTGCAGAAGATAACGAAGATGACGGCGGATCACTAACACAGAAACAAAAGATTTCCTTCCTCGAAAATAATTTAGACCAGCTTACAAAGGTAGATTACAAATATTCAATATATATTTTTATTTTATTGAATTATATTCATATTTCGTATTTTTTATTTAATAGGTTCATAAGCAACTTGTAAGAGATAATGCTGATCTTCGATGTGAATTACCTAAACTTGAAAAAAGATTACGGGCTACTATGGAACGTGTCAAAGCTTTAGAAACAGCATTGCGAGATGCCAAAGAAGGTGCAATGCGAGATCGTAAACGTTATCAGTATGAAGTAGATAGAATCAAGGAAGCAGTTAGACAAAAGAATTTAGCCCGTCGTGGACCGAGTGCGCAAATTGCTAAACCAATTAGAGCTGGTCAACATCATTTAACTAATGTTAATGCTATTAGAACGGGAAATCGTGGTAAGTAACAATAAAGTTAGTTAAATATTTATTATTTTTACATACATTTTTTTCAATGTATATAATTAAGAATATATCTATATTTTTATTATAAAATCGTAGGTTTGTCCGATTTTATATAAAGGAATCGATAAAAATGTTATACAGTTTGGAATAAATATATTCAATATATTTGATGTTAAACTATTTAGTTTAACAAATGATATTTTCATATAAAAATATTTAAAAGACGAACAAACCTTGCGAAAATTTTAATTTTCAATTTTTTTAAATAAATGGTTATGGGTAATTTTTTATTTGTTAAAAAATTAATTTTTAGTTAATGATTTTGTTGATGTAGTTTTGATATTTGTTTATTTTTTTCATGTTTTTATTCAGATATGGGTAGTAACAACGTACAGTGATCGTGAGCATAATGCCAAACCCTTCACTTTTACAGAAAACGAATGCAAGAACGCTTTCATCAATGAAAGCAATAGAGTTCCAGAGACTCTAATTTGTAGTGGATACCCATAAATGTTACAACTATATAGTAAGGGTAATAGACGTAATATATCCGCAAGGAGCACCGCCAGTTCTTTTTATTTGTCTCAAAACAAGCATGTGCTTAGGTATATTCAAATAAGTGCATTAAGTTATAAAATTAGTGCTGCATGTCCTATCGATTTGTAAATAGTTAATTTTTATAAATTATTTAACTTAATATCATGCACGATGAATAAAAGTGAATGTCTATCAAATAATCATGCAAAGGCCTCTTATGAAAAATGTTTCAATATTTATTTCTAACAAAATTTTGTATACTGTATCTTTAAAAAGATAAATGAATTCTATTATAATGGAGTAGAAAATAATAATAATGATCTAAAAATGATTAATATAATTTAATCAATTTGTCTATAATAGTTTTAACTGATCTACAATCAACATTAATATTTCTCATCAAATGAGGCAGTACTATCTAACATTTGGTAGGTATCGCTGACATGAAATGCGATTGGACATGCGGCTTTGAAAAAATTGTAGGAATGATCGTGGCTTATAAGTATTTATAATTGTAAGAATTCTCTCCATTGCTATTAACATATACGCGACAAAAAATTTTTTCGGACTTTCGGAGAGCTCACTTAACGAAAGTGTTAAGTTTGTTGGCTACTCTAAATATTATGGTCCAAGAACCAATGGCTTTATGAACATTTTCGACAGAAAAATTTCATCCTTATTTTTGTTCATGTTTATTTTATTAATTATAATACAGTTCTCATTACATCAATCTTTATATATTCATCTAATTTAAATTAATTTATTATTGCTTATTCTTGTTTATATCAGAGGCTTTTATACTACATTTAAAGTTTTATAGACCAATAAAATTTGATCTATAAAGAAGTCTTTTGTCTTAGATAAACGTATTTTTATGTTTTTTCATGTTGAGCTTATGCTCGGAAGTTACCTAGATGTATTGTACGTCTAATTGTGAGTTATTGCACAGGTCTGCTTAAGTTCCTAAAACCTGTTGCAGACCGCCGAAAATTCGCTCACAGATTCTTTTTCTTTTTTTTTCTTTTTTCAGTGTAATCGTTGAATGTAACGTATACACATGCATTTTTTAGAAAACTATTCTTTAATCATATTTGTCAGTAATTAATGCTTTTCAATTTTTGTGTACTTTTTATGTACTTTTTTGTAATTGTTTTATTTATGATTTTCTTAAAAATGTACGAGCCACACGTACTTGATATATTGTCCAGAGCAGGAGAATTCTAAACAATATTAATTTAAGATAGATTTCTATAAACTGTGCGCAACAAAATATTTGTTTGTGATACGTCGAAATTTTGTTACGCGCAGATTCTTTATGATGTGTAGACAAAAAAAATTAACATTTTCTTTATCTATGAATCATTGTCTCTCGTTGTTGTTGACAACAACGAAAGAAATCATGTTTCCACGTGAAATCATTTTTTGTCATCTTCCGTTTTTTAACTTTTGTGATATCGAGAGTGAAATTGTGTTTGCATATTATGCAAAGACAAGTGCGTGGTGCATAATGAGTGCAATTATTATTGTCAAATGTATGTAAATATAATCGTATTCCATTACATTTATTTGGCAAATTAAAACAATCTTTGCAAGTTGCCCTATTCGTAAAAGGCTACAAGTATATGTATTTATTGAAAAATACACTTAATATTACTGTTTCAAAGCCTTAACGATTGTCGAAATATTGTCATACAATAATGTATTTTTCATTCTACTATTCAACTAAGATATTAATGTATCTGCTGAATTTTGAATCATGATTCAATTCTCTTCTTAAGCTATTGAATCCTGAAATAAAATTTCAGCCTAGGCAACTCTTTAATTGTGAATTTCGAGTATCGACCACTTTTTCTTACTAAATAACATTTATTTTTATAGACTATTGTAAAGGCATTATTGATTTTTCAACATGGAGAAAAAAATTCAAAAGTACTTATTGAACAAATTTTCGTTACGATCAAAATATAATTAAAAAATGATCGAATTCATAAATCAGCCTGTTATATATTATAATATAATTTAAATTATCAGCATTTTTCTCTAATTGACATATATGTTTATTATTATTTTTTTACATCATAATTTATATAATTTATGCGCATAATTAAAACAGGCAATGAAGCTTAAGAAAAATTTAATGAATTTTATTGTATAACTCCTCGAAAATCAGATGCTTGTCGAAAAGTCCTTTTTAAAAATCTTCGATATATATACACGAAAATAAAATAAAAATCAGAGTTATTATTATTTTCATAATGCATCAAACATATTTAAAATTATAATTAAAAAAGAGTAGTTAATATTTAATGGTATACACATAGAAAAACAAAAATCACTGTTAATGAGGAGGTTGATCTATAACCGCTGCCGTTCTTTTGTAAACTGTACGAAATATGCGAATGTGAAGGAAATAAATAAGTTGACAGATGTAGATATTCGTTTCATTGTGGTTTAGAAACATACCGAAAAATGTACAGAAAAAGTGCGACAAACTCATATAGTTGTATCACGTGCTTTGCTACATTATGCTTTATTCGAAAAATTATATGTTATATACGTGCGTTTATTTAATTAAATTCCACAACATAAAAAAATTACAGGCGTTTTAAAAAAAAAAATCTATACTGATGCTCGATGGTGCATAGCGAAACCTATAAGTATCGAAGTAGGTTTACTATAAAAATGCAATGCGAATAATAAATTCTTTTTTCATTGCATGTTTTGTGTATATGTCATAACATATTTCAAAAGCCCTTGATTAAATTCAGGTCTACCTCATCGAAAGCAGAAAATAAAATGAAGTAGGGATTCCTAAAATTTTTCTAGAATTAGATGGTATGCAGAGTTTAGAAAAACTGTAATTTCAAGGTACCTTGGATTATTACATGCAACTCACTTCCTCATTTGAAAAATTATTTTTAAGAAACTTATTACTATTACTTAATAATTAATGAAAATTGCATTAAAAATATTAAAAAAAAAAGCATTAACATTTTTTAGTAATATTTTTTAAATAATAATTCTTGAATATCATTTATTTAATAATAAAATAATTTATATTATATATATATGTATTTATTTAATATCAAAATTATAAATATCTGATTTTTTTTTTATTGATAAAAAAGTTCATATGATTAGTAATTTATTTTTTAATTCAATCAATAATAAATATTGATTTAATTCTTACTTTATTGTTTAATTATTTTCTTATGATATTATTCAAAGATAAATACCATGAATGTTATGAACTGGAATGTGGAACAACAATGTTTAGATCGTACATTATCATTAACAGATGTACGAAAAAAATTATTTCCTACAAAAATTATACTTGATCGTGGACCACTATTAGATGAAAACAAGTACTCACCAAAGACATTAGTAGGTGATTGGTTTGAACGTAGAGCAGATTACATAATCCAACCTGATGATTGGAGAACTACATATGAAATAGATTTTAAACCTCATATTAATGAAACTTGGAAAATAAATCAAATTGTAAAATGGGAAAACAAACTTATACAAGAGGTATATAAAATTACCAACTATGTTATAAGAAATAAATAATATGTAAAATAATCTTCAAATGATGTTTAATTATTACGATATTGTCTTTGAATACAATTTCCTCATAAGGGTTTACCCCAAGAAAAATTTTTTCATCACGAAAAGGAATATTATAGTAATATGACAACTACTTATGATTTATGTTATAATATTTTACCAAAAGGTCTCGAAGGACCTAAAATTAGATCTTATAATGCAAGGTATATATGATTTTATGTGTGTATTAATTATAAATAAATTATATAAAAGTTTTAATTTTTATTAATATATTTATAAAATTTATATTTTATATTTAAAGACAGAGAAAATGGATTCCAGAACAAGATTTATTGAAAAGTTTTGGTACGTTAACTCAATTCGGATTAAAAGATGCATTAAAAGAAGAAATATATAGAGATTCAAAGGAAGGAATAGCCAAATGTCAATGGTGGAGTACTTACAGAGAAGAGATTGGAGAAACAAAACCATTAGATATTGAACAGGATACTAAGTAAGTTATTGTTAAATTACAATTTTTATTATATAATTTAATTTATATCTAATTTTATTGAAGATTTCGCAGACGAAAAGTGAATTTTAATGTACCAGATCTTAGACATTTTAAATATAAATCAGATAATGAATATTGTTTATTACCATTTAAAGTTAAAAATTCAATATCAAATGTGCAAAAATGTACAAAAAAATAATAGTATAAAATATATTATTCATTAAAAAACTTATAAATTTTTTTACATAAATATCTTAAATAAAGATATAATATTTATTTTATTTAGTTATTTTAACATTACATCATAACACAATAATATATATTCTTATAAATATAAAGAATATACTTTGGATTTCATCATTATATATGTACAAAATTTGTAATGCAAAAATTTTTATTTATATTAAAAAAAATAAAAAAAGATAGTTTCATAAATGTACATATGTATAAATATTAAGATATTAATTAATTATTAATTATGTAATTAGTAGTGTAATTTGAAAATTATTTTTATTTTAATTTTAAAATCATTATATAATAAAAATATTGATTTTTTTTAATTTTAAAGAAATATAATAACACCATTATAGAAACTTTTATTGATATTTTATTTCACTTAATGGTATTGCTAGCTTGTACTTTTATCATCTGTAGTTTTTTATTTACAATATTATTTCATAGATATTTTATATAATATATAATTATCATTAAAAGAATACTTATATTTTTAAATTGGATAAAATTTTATTTAGTATATATTATATATTATTTTAATAAGATTGAAAAAGATAAGAAATATTTTAAAAATTATAATAAAAATTTTGAATATACTAAAAAAAAATTATAATTCTCATTTAAAAAATTTATCTTTTTATTTTCAAACCATTTTTATATTCAAAACATTAAACATTAACATTCAAAACATATTCAAGATAATAGTACAAGATTGCAAGTACCAAAATTTACATAAAAAATTAACATGTATTATAATAATAATAGAATTGTTTTAATAAGATTTATAATGTTGTTTGTTAATTATGAGTCACAGTAATGAAAGCAATTTTTCTTATATTCACAAATATAATAATAGAATTAAAAAAAAAAATTAAACATTAATATAAAGTGAATTTAATTTCACATTATTTCAGTTCTTCTTAATTCTTATTTTTTGGATTACATATATATCTTACTAATGAACACACATGGAGAACGTTTTTTTTATCACAAGATTCACAGTTTATGTCAGATAATTTTTCCGTCGAACCAGTATCCCATTTTCCACTATTATGCGTTTAACTTAACATTATTGTTCAAATTTGATGCTTTGTAAAATGCATATAAAAAAATAATATTTATTTACAATGATTTATATGAGATAAAGAAGCGAGTGATAATAACAATATTTTATGATAATAATAGAAAACTTTATACTGGCAGTGTATCGCTATTTATCAACAAGTTGAAATTTCTATATCATTAATTACTATTTTTTATAAGTTTTACTTTATAAAATAGTAATCAACTTGCTTTATAATTAAAAACTAAAATACGTATAAATGGCAAATATAAATTCAGATAGAATAGCAAAAATGTATACCCTGTTCAATGTAATAAAATAGTACATAACACTATTATATTTAATACAAGTGAACCACATAAAAGGATTGGTAACCAAATGGGACTTGTTACAATAGTGGTATGACTAGGAAATATTTGCATTTCAGAGGGACTTTTAATATCATTTATATTCATGTTTTGTCCTTGTGAACATTGATCCATAAAAATTGAATTATTTCTTTTGTTATTTTGAGACAATGATAACATTTGTGAAGTACAAAGATTAGTTGATGTAAGTCTCACTGTTTGATTATTAAATGATTGATTTTTTGGTTCTGGTGAAAATTGAAGACTTTGTTGACAAAAAGACCCAATGGGACTATTATTTTGCCGTAATGTATAACAGGATTGTGTTGTATCAGATACAACTGAACATTGATCAAATTCATGTATAGATGGTTCTCTAGATGGACCAAAATTAGAACTGACAGAACCAAAGCCAGAACTTTGACTGGATGATCTGGACAATGATGGTGCATCTATACCTTCTTGCCAATAACCACCGGCTACCCAGGATGTTTGTGTAACTGATTTTAGTTTTGGTGGTGATAAAATATGTCTTTTACCAGATTTTTTAAAGATCTCGGAACTTTTTGTACTATACACTTTTGTTTGAAAAATCTTAGGTATTTTAGTTGAATGTTTTGGTTTATTTTCATCTAATGATAATATGCTTAATGTACTCAAACTATCATTTAATGAGTAACTATTATCTATCATATTCTTTTTACATATGGGCATAGAATTAAATATTGCATCATTATTGACAACAGACATGGATGATGATTGTAATTCCGAATTTGTACTGTAATATAAATAATTATTTTTGTTATATAAAAAATTAATAAAAAATTTAAAAATTTAATAACTTAATAAATTACTTACAATAAATTTTGAAAAATTATAGATTTGGAATTAATTGAATTTCCTACACACTGAGACTTGTTTTCTACTGATTGATTAACAACATTTTCATTTAAATTACCAGTAGTTTTAACGTTAAAATTGTGCTTATTATTTGAAGTTGTTGTAAATGAATCAAATAATTCTGTATTTTTTGTAGAAGATTCAATTTTTTTAAATGATATATTTTTATTCAATGTAATTTTATGAGATTTAGGTATGATATTTATAAAGCCTATAATTGAGATAAATAATATTATCTAAAACAAAAATTATTAAAAAACGTTATTAAAATACAATTATAATATTAACAAAATACAATTTATTTTAATTTATTAACTTACCATATGATACTGAGTTATATATTCTAGAGAAAACCATGAATTCTGCAAATCTGTTTTAATTAATTTTGTATCTTTAAAAGGTAAGAGTGTAATCATACAAATCCATAAGAACATAAGTAATGTATCAGAATTTTGTTTTTTTGTTATCCAACAAGCACAGAATTGAAAAAATAACCCTCCAACTGGCAAAAATATGAATTCCATATTGTATGCTATCATAGAACCTAATATTGTTGCTATTATTCTGCATACAAATTCAAAACATTTTTTGTCCTGAAAATTTAATTTTATATTTTAAAAGAAATCAATAAAATATGTTATAAAATTTCATTTACATTTTACTATAATACTTACATTAGCAATTATACAGAATGGTTTTTGTTTGAATAATAACATTTTATATTGTGCAAGCCATATTGCTTGCTTATATAATACATTATTTACTGTAATTTTACATTTTGCACACAATGGATATTGTTGTTCTAAACTATCTTTCAACTTTTTAATTTCATATTCATAATTTTTTTCATTTTCAGGTATATAGCCAGATATTTTTGATATTTTTAAGTTTTCATTCATGTTACATTGTTTGCAGAGCCCATTAGTTATACTTTTATTAGTCATATTTTGGTTGATTGTGCAATATCTTTTGATTTCATGTGAAGGTTTCTTATATTGTTCTGGTATATTATATGAGTAATCACCATTCTAAAATTTGACATGGAAGAAAATATAGGAACAGTATCCAAAATAAATTGAATTTTAAAAACAATATTGCATAGATAGATTGTTTCAATTCTGTATCAAGATATTCCAATAACTTTAAAAATATTTAATGAATCAATTAATTCAACCTGGCGAAATAATCAAGATACATTATGCATAAAGTCTTAATAATTGAATTAAAATTTTTGGATGTGTCACATGAATATAATCTTCAATACATATCATAAATATATAATATTATGAATAATATATCCTTTAAAATTTTAGTTGAAAAAACTAATTTACCTTAGAAAAACCATTATATTGTTCACAATATGGACACATCCACCAATTAAGCTGTTGTCGCCAAATTTTTATATTTTTGTTACAAAACCAGCAGTTTACTTTTACAGGCCATCTTAATCTAATATATAAACAAAATGTGATGTAATTATGATTGTAGTATTCCAGAGGGAAAACAAAAAAATATATACTTACTTAAGTTTTTGGAAGACTGTAGTGAATGTGACAAATAATAATAAAATAATGGAAAATATTGGCATATAATTGAACGATAAGTCAAATTCCATTTTTTACATAAAAAATATATAAAAACTAAGAGCAAAGTTCATCTCCCGCCGACCGGTCAGAGTGTCTTCACCTTAACCTATGTGATTTAAACTGTATAGAAATCATGCAGTCACGTGGCGTATTGAATACTTTCACGTTATACTTTATATATTATATATTTTACTATTATTATAACAGAACATTTTTTATTATTCACGCGCGTGTTAAATTTTTTATAAAATTAAAAATTAGGTGAAAAAATTTTAGCATAATATAATTTTCCGCGTCGCCGCCTTATTTTATTCTATAAATTTTTAAGCATGTATCAAGTACCGTTATCGTTCAGTCTTACCAATCTTACAAAAATATAAATTAAGCAATTTTTAGGAAATACATAAAGTAAGAAATATTAAATAATAAATTCAAAATAAATTTTAATTATTTTGTAATTAATAATATAATTTAAAAAGTAATATATTACTCTTTTATTTTTAAATTATAAATCTTAAAGGATGATTTACATTAAGCGATAATAAATAAATTTTATTAAATGTTTAATAGTTTTCATTAAGAAATAAATATAATTTATTAATTTAATTTAAAAAATTTTATTAAATTTTATTAATCTTCATTTAATGTTTTATAATCAATATGCAGTAAATATATTAATCGATATAAAATTGATTGTCGATAACCTTATAGCAAGTAATCGACTCCCAACTTGAGATCGAGGATTACATTACAGTACAGTAGGTATCAATGACAAGCAATTCTTCTGGTAACATCGTATATAAGTCAAGTTTTAAATTTTTTTTCACACTTATTTTTATAGGTAAATGATAGCATAAAAATAATTATAATTTGTACTTAATTATAGATAAATAGTGAGTGCAACAATGACGCTCACAAATAAAGTAAGTACTCGAAGCTAAATAACGTGATATATATTTATTATTTAACGGTACTATTTATTATTTTAATATTTTAGATGGAAATAGATGAAAAAACTATGAAAGGAGAAGGTTTTAAACCATATTATATTACTAAAATCGAAGAACTTCAATTAATTGTAGCTGAAAAAAGTCAAAATTTGAGGAGGTTACAAGCACAACGTAATGAGCTTAATGCAAAAGGTATGTTATTCTATAATTATATCTTTATTTTTTTTAGTTAATTATTTGATGTACAATGATGATGATTACAATAAAAATATCTTTTTGTAGTACGTATGTTGCGTGAAGAATTACAACTTCTTCAAGAACAAGGATCATATGTTGGAGAAGTTGTTAAACCAATGGATAAAAAAAAAGTTTTAGTCAAAGTACATCCTGAAGGAAAATTTGTAGTAGATATAGATAAAAATATTGATATTAATGATGTAACACCAAATTCACGAGTTGCATTACGTAATGAAAGTTATACTTTGCATAAAATTTTACCAAACAAAGTTGATCCACTTGTTTCTCTTATGATGGTTGAAAAAGTACCAGATTCTACATATGAAATGGTTGGTGGTTTAGATAAACAAATCAAAGAAATCAAAGAAGTTATTGAATTACCTGTTAAACATCCTGAATTATTTGATGCTCTTGGAATTGCCCAACCTAAAGGTGTACTTTTATATGGACCACCAGGTAACAAAAAAATAATAAAAAAAATTTTTTTTTAATTAAAAATAAAATTAATTAAAAATTCAATAATATTATTGAAAAATGCATTTATTTTCAGGTACAGGTAAAACATTATTAGCAAGAGCAGTTGCTCATCATACTGAATGTACATTTATTCGCGTATCGGGTTCTGAATTGGTTCAAAAATTCATTGGTGAAGGTTCACGAATGGTTCGTGAATTATTTGTAATGGCAAGAGAACATGCACCATCTATAATATTCATGGATGAAATAGATTCAATTGGAAGTTCTCGCATTGAATCTGGTTCAGGAGGGGATAGTGAAGTAAATTTTATATTTTAAAATAAAATAAAATTTTATTTTAAATAAGTATTTATTATTATTTTATATTATAATTATTCTATATTTTATGTTATATTATAATTAGGTTCAACGAACAATGCTCGAGTTACTTAATCAATTAGATGGTTTTGAAGCAACAAAAAATATAAAAGTCATTATGGCTACAAATAGAATTGATATATTAGATCCAGCGTTATTAAGACCGGGACGTATAGATCGTAAAATCGAATTCCCTCCTCCAAACGAAGAAGCACGACTCGATATTTTAAAAATTCATTCGAGAAAAATGAATTTAACACGTGGTATAAATTTAAGAAAAATTGCTGAACTCATGCCTGGTGCATCGGGTGCAGAAGTGAAGGTATTTAATATACAGTTAAAAAATGCAACATTTTTTATTCCCAGAATTATTTATTTATTTTCTTTTTTTTAGGTGTATGTACAGAAGCTGGTATGTATGCTCTTAGAGAACGTCGTGTACATGTTACCCAAGAAGACTTTGAAATGGCTGTAGCAAAAGTCATGCAAAAAGATTCAGAAAAAAATATGTCAATCAAGAAATTATGGAAGTAATAATTGATTTCATCCTGCAGTTCTCATTCTATACTCTTTTGCATCTTTTGCAAAATCATTTGTAAATTTCATACAATTTCGATTTAAATGTATACAAAATAAAAGTTACAGTTACAAGAAAAATATATTAAATAGAAAAATTGATACTTTTTGTGGCTCATTTTTTTATTAAATGCAATTATTAAATAATATTATATATTATATTAATATCATATTAATTAATATTATATGTTTATACATAAAAGATTTTCTTTTGCATTTGGAAGTAGGTTGATGTTTTTTCCTAAAAATAAATGTATTTTCTAAATATCATTATTTTTCTTTATCCCCACTTCTAAAATATCTTATATACAGACTATAATATAGCGCTAGTATCGCATTATTATTATTTTTGTACAGAAATATTTTCCGTTGAAGTAAGTTTTTTATAAAAAATAAAATTGTTTATAAATTAAAATGGGTAAAAAAGGAAAAATTGGAAAGCAAAGAAAAGATAAATTTTATCAATTAGCAAAGGAAACTGGTAAATATTTTGAAATAATATTATTTTATAAAAAAATAAAATAACTTATTAATTTATTCATTTAATGAATATTTTAACTTTAATTGAATTTTAAATTTTATGATATATTTTCAAAATTACATTATTATTGATAATATATGATGTAAAAATATTTTTTTAATAGATTATATTTTATAGGTTATAGATCACGTGCTGCTTTCAAATTGATTCAATTGAATCGGAAATTTGAATTTTTACAAAAATCTCGAGTATGTATAGATTTATGTGCAGCTCCTGGAGGATGGATGCAAGTTGCTCGGCAGAATATGCCAGTATCTTCTATAGTAATAGGTGTAGATTTGTTTCCTATAAAACCCATTCCAGGATGTATCAGTTTAATAGAAGATATTACAACTGATAAATGCCGTATATCAATAGCACGTGAATTAAAAACTTGGAAAGCTGATGTTGTATTACATGATGGAGCACCAAATGTAGGTAAAAATTGGCTCCATGATGCATATCAACAAATTGTTTTAACTTTAGGTGCTCTTAAAATGGCAACGCATTTTTTACGATCTGGTGGTTGGTTTATTACAAAAGTCTTTCGTTCAAAAGATTATAATCCATTGATTTGGGTATTAAAACAATTATTTAAAAAGGTATATAATTTTTTTTATTACAAAAATAATTTTTATTATATTGATATTTTATTTGTGTATTTTATTTAAGGTGCATGCAACTAAACCACAAGCATCACGTACAGAATCTGCTGAAATTTTTGTTGTTTGTCAATATTATATTGCACCAGATAAACTAGATCCTAAATTTCTAGATCCAAAATATGTTTTTTCTGAATTAGAGATAGAACCTATAAATAAATTGAATATATTTAATCCTACAAAAAAAAAGGATAAAGCAGAAGGTTATCCAGAAAATGATTACACTTTATATCATAAACTATCTGTTAAAGATTTTATAGCACATGAAAATGTTGTGGAAGCATTACAGAATACTTCTGAAATCGTTTTTGATGATGAGATAATAACTAATCATGAAAAAACAACTAAGGAAATTAAGGAATGTTGTAAAGATATTAAAGTACTAGGTAAAAAGGATTTACGAAATTTAATTAATTGGTGGAAGATAATAAAGGAATCTCTGAAAGAAAAGGAACCAATAGATGAAAATACACAAAATTTGCTTGATGAAACAATAGAAACAGCACCTATGAGTCAAGAAGAATTGGAAGATATAGAAGATGAACAAATTAGAAAACAAATTGAAGAACTTAAAGAAAATGAAGCTAGAGATCTTAAACGAAAGAAAAAAAAGGCCAACAAACAAAGACAAAAATTAAATGAACGTCTTAATTTAAAAATGATTCATAAAGGAAACGAAGGACCTATATTGGAAGGGGATGATATGTTTAGTTTGAAAGAAATTAAAACACATCAACAATTAGAAAATATAATGGATCAAGATCCTAATATATTAGCAGAAAGTGATGTAGATTCAGATGTAGAACAAAAAAAATCGAAAAAAATAATATATAAAAAAGATAAAGGACATTTAGATAGTTCAGGCTTATATTATAAATCAGAAGACAGTGAACTAGATGACTCAGATGATATTTCAGATAATGATTCAAATAGTAATAAATCAGATTTAGGTATCTTATATATTATTTAAATGTATAATTTTGTCTATTTTATATTTATAAAATTAATATTTTTATGCAATTATACAATTAAATTTTAGGTTTAAATGAATCCGATGATGAAGATATTAAAAACATTAAAAAAAAAGAAATAATATTGAAGAAGATTTAGAGAATCCTTTATTAACTGATTTAGATCATAGAGACAAAAAAACTAAAAGAATTCACAAAGCAGAATTATGGTTTGAAAAGGATATATTTAAAAATTTAGAAGATGAAAAAGATGAAGATTTTGAATTGGATAAAATGATTGAGGAATATAGAAAGAAAGGTGGTCATATTATAGGAGAAGATATTTCTGTAGATAGTGATAAAGAAAATAAAATAAAAAATCATATAAATATAAAAGAAAAGGATATACAAGAAGATGATGAGAATAATAATGATCTTAATAGTGATGATTCAAATTCTGATTATGATGTGAATAAGATGATGAAAAAATCAAAAAGAATGAAATTAGTGACAAAGATAATTCTCAAACAAGTGAGTATATTGTATGGATATTATGTAATAAAATTTATTTAGTAAATAAAAGGTTTAATATAATTATTTTTATAATATATAGATAGTAAATTAAAGAAAAGGAAACATTTATCAGAAGAAGATTTAGCATTGGGATCATTATTAATCCAAAGTAAAAAAACTCGAAGGGACTTAATAGATTCAGCTTGGAATAGATATGCATTTAATGACGAAAAATTACCAGATTGGTTTATACAAGATGAAGAAAAACACATGAAAAATGTAATACCAGTACCAAATGAACTTGTTAATGAATATAAAAAACGTATTGAAGATTTAAATATTAGACCAATCAAAAAAGTAATTGAAGCAAAAGCAAGAAAAAAGCGTAGAGCGTTACGCAAATTAGAAAAAGCCAAAAAGAAAGTGGAATCAATAATGGATAATACTGATATTAGTAATAAAGAAAAAGCAAAACAAATACAAACGTAAGCATAAATTTTTATTTTATTTAAAAAATTTTATATATTTTTTATATATTTATGCATATATATGAAACTGATCATTTATGATCTTCTATTTTTCTAGTTTATATAAAAAAGCTCATAAAGAGCCGAAAAAAGATGTTACTTATGTAGTCATGAAAAAACATATGACACAAAAGAAAACGAAAAGACCACCTGGCGTTAAAGGACGTTATAAACTAGTTGATCCGAGAATGAAAAAAGATTTACGTGCAGCCAAAGCAAAAGAAAAAACTAAAAGACGTGGAAAAAAGAATCATAATAATCATAGTAAACCACCTCAAGGAAAACCTAAGAATCACAAGGGAAAAAAGTTAAAGTAATTTAATTTAATTTAATTTCTTTATTTTATTATCATATAAAATGATCATATATTAGTAATTTTCATTTATTCTGAAAATTTATCATTTATTCCAACATTCAATATAATGCATTAAAAATAGGAAACTAAATAATAAATTATCTACTTGAATACATGATAGATACTATTTTTCTTGAAATTTTAATATTGTATTTTGTACATAAATATGTATTATGTATATAACTTACACATTTATTATTATTATTATTATATATAATAATAATAAAATATTTAATTATATTGAATTAAATATTTAAAAACTCAATTATTTAAAAAATTGCACTTTGTGATCAAAAATTGCAATGTACTTTGATGCATAAAACATCACAATTTTTGATGAATAAAAAAAAATATATATATAGTAGTAACATATTGAAATTTATTTATATATTTATAATATTAAATAAATAATTATTTATGCTTTATAAATTTATACATTTTTATTATATTTATTATATATTTTTATAGTTTTGATGTATCAAAATATATTACAATTTTTTATCACAAATTACAATTTTTAAGTAATCAAGTTTTTAAATATTCAATTTATATAATTAGATAGATATTTTATATATTAATATATATATTTTATATTTCAATAAAAAATGTATTTAAAATACTTAAAATACATAAATATATAAAATACTTCCAAAAAATTTTATATATAAATTTATATATAAAATGCGGATTTTTTTAATGTTTTGAAAAAATTTTATTAAAATAATAAAAAGTAAAAAATAAAAATAAAAATATTTGTTTTAAAATGATTTTAATGTAATTCATAAAATCATATAGCACGCGAAAAATAAATGATATAAATAAATTTCAGTATCCACTTATTCATGTGAAATGGATAACTATGTGAAATCTCCTCCTATCAACTTGATATTACTCCCTTCTCATCTTTTTTGTTTTTACTACTAATTTCCTTCTTGGGTGTATTCCATGCATCGAACATTCTGATGTAATCATGGCTGCGTAGTGTCGGGACGCTGTGGTCGATGTCAAGGACAAGGCCGATGGCATTTAGAAAGATCGTTTTACATCGTCGTTGCAATGAAAGTAGCATCGATGAAACTTTTTTTGGCTCGCTACCAAAAATCTCATCATCGTTCTCATCGGCTTCATCATTGATATATTTCTACAAATATGCTTCTACATTTATATGATATGATTTACAAATCTTCTATCGTGTTCTTATATTTTCTTATTTTTCTTATTTTTTATTACTCATTATTCAAAAGTTTTTTGTCATCTAAATATTTGTTCTAATTGGCAGAAAATACCAATTATGATATAATTAATATAAAGGCGACCTATTGCAACGATTGATGTCAAGACTAAGTTTACTGATATGTAAATTTCATAATATGTTGAAATACAATATTTTTGATACAAAAAAATAATATATTGAAAGTTAATAATAATTTCGACTATATACTTATGAATTTATATAAAAGCTTTTCAATATTTTTTCTACAATTAATATGATTTTTTTTCAGTAAAAAAGATATTTAAAATAACTTAAAATTTATAATTATATCATGTTTATTAATTTTTGCTTATTTTTGTTGTTATTTTGAGAAGAAAATTGTTAATTTAATTTTAAAGGACATGCCGATCTGGAGATGTGATAATATTCACTTGTTCCAATTTACTTAATCGCAAATCAAGTTTGTATTTGGCGTCAAACATTTGTAGGTGCTGTAACGATGCTCATAAATCTTAATAACATATTGGCGCCAATGCTGATGATTTTCAGAGAAACTATTTTTAACTTTCGATTTTTATACATAAGAAATAAATATGTTTTTATCATATATATGTTTTATGCTTTGAATAATGTTATACAAATAATATTTTTATTCTAATTTATTAAAAATGTAAAATATATATAAATCTAGTAAAATTATTAATTTATTTTATGAAACAATATTTTAATTATATATATTTAAATTGGAATATTAGATTATCGATTTTTTTATTGAATTATTTGAAAATATGAGATATGAAGGTTGAACTTGGTAAATTCCGAAGCCTTGAACTGATCTGATGGCTTTTAACTCGAGTTAAAATTATGATGAGAAATTGCACCAGAAATACTCGCAATTGAGAAATAGACTACATAGCATGAAAAACATACTTGTTAAAATATTTTTTTGATAATATCAAAAATTTAATATGCTATAATAATCAATATATTACTTTAACAATTTTAAACATTGATAAAATAATTTTGTTTTAATTTTATAATGTTTTTTGTTTCAAAAATATAAACAATGAATTATTGTATGTTACTCGGTCAAGTTTCCTGACTTAGACTCTTTTATGAAAGGCCATCGGTATCTGTGTCTTTACGCGGTTGGCGCTTACGTCAAGGGCGACCTCGACTTTCCACCGTCTCTAATCTGTACGAGAATCATTTGCGAGACAAGCATTTCATTTCCACAATGTGTTACATTAGATATAAGTATTAAGATTTTGTAATCTCTTTATTTTTTTTTATAAATTGCATAGTTATTAATTAATTTATTAAATATATTATATTAGAACTTTTTCAATTAATTATTTATTATTACTTGAATAATTCATAAAATAAGTTTGATAGATACATAACCTCTATTTTTTATTTTAAATTGAAAATTAAGAAAATGTTTCTCTGATTTTGTTTATATTAAAACTGATGGATTATCACAGTATCCATTAGTAAATTTTATTTTATTTTTACTTTATTATTAAAATATGTGTTATCTTAATCTTTAAAACAAAAAATTTATTAATATTTTAAAAAATTATTTTATTAATTAAATATAAATAAACATTCAAAATTAACTTACGAATATTTTAATTACTTACCATATCAAATTTTGAATAATCATTTGTATCATTTATATCATCTATATAATATAAACCAATATATTGTTAGAATTTAATTGTGTTCAATATATGAAAAATCTTAAACTTTCCATTATAACTATTTCTTGTAATCTTGTCGTTATTTTCGTATATAATCTTAAATCACAAAACTAAAAGATAGAAATGGAATAAATAACATTGAATTAAAACGAAATATAATGTTAATAATAAAAATATTGTGAATATATGAATCAAATGAAAATGAAATAGGTAAATGCGAAAAATTAGATCGTAATATAAAAAAGATAGTCAAGTTATGGAAGTAGTGGGGATAGATGCAGCGAGACAAGGGCTGACGCGCGGTAATTGAGAATCGTTAACGCGTCCTCGAGAGAGATTGAGCGACTGGATTTTGCTAGGTCCTCTTTTACTCTCCGCAGCCGTTACCATCAGCTTGTCTCCCTCTTTTCGTCCCGGCTTCCTAGCCACTATGCTGATGACCTTCAACCGTTCAAGAGGGGATGGACCTCGTTGGCTAGCGGGCCGAGGTATAAGGTCAAGGTTGCTGTAGTCGGTGTGCACGGGATATGCGACCTCCAAATGCATCGAGCGAGATGCGTGCGCAATTGACGCATGCGCGCCATGAGCCGGCTTGTCGTGCGTCGCAGCGTGTCGCGCAAGTCATTGCCAAGGTCTTCTCTGGTCACGGGCAAACCGTTATAAGTAGCGATGGGCACGAACTGGAATGTAATTTTTAAACTGTATAATTAAAGATCAATGTATATCATTAGATGCTTTTAGGATGTTATTAATTTAAGTTTTGACGATTTGAAAAATCATGCATCTTCATTGAATAATTTACATCCTACATGATGTTGAAATCTTTTATGAATGAAATTATTAAAAGAGCATAGTAAGTACCGGATATTATTTTTATATTATTTTTAACTAACATATTAGATAGTGATATATTTTTCATGCAATTTTTATCTATATACTATATAATACTATATACTATATACTATGCAGGAAGAAATAGAATATGTAATAGGAAAAATATATGAAAAATTAATGTTAAGCATTGAGAGTGGCCATCTTGAAATTTGTATTGCATTGCATTTGTATTTTTTTAACATATTATATATTCAATTTGTTTCAATTTGATATTAGATTATGAGAATTTCGGTTCCATCGCTAGTCGTAAGTTGCCGGTTGAGACTGATGCAAGGTCGTCAACGATTGTTTCAGGGTAAGCTGAACTATTAACGCCTACCCCACTAAAACTTTTTCTTTGTAACATGAATTTAAAGTCATAGATAGGATTGAGTTATTGATTATTGATTAATACAAAAAAATTGTAACTATAAAAATAAATGAATATAAATGTAAACAAATATATACAAATGTATTTCCTAATTTCTTATTACTTTTTTTTCTATTATATATTTAATTTGAATAATAATTATTTATAATTGGTTTATTGTTTTCTTGGTTTCAGAAAAAGAAAAAGCTAATTGTACTCATTTTGTATTAAAAAAAAAGAACATTGAAAGAAACAATCAGGAAAAGATGTATATAAATATTTTTATTACATTTTTATTGTAAGATTTCTAATAGAAATATCTATAAAAGAATTTCTTTTAACCTAAAATATAAAGCAACGAAGTATCAAATTTTTATAAGATTTTATCGCGAAGAAATCTATTTCTAATTCTGGGTAAAAATTATTTTTGAAGATATTATGATATCTCTTCTGATAAAATCTAAGTGAATATTTATATTTTGCAATATATCCCTCTAATGAACTTGTGTAAATTTCTTGTCCAAGAAATATTATTTTAATTTTTTTGTTTTTTTGTTTCATAGAAGTTTCATTTATTTGAAATAAAATCTGGTTTTAATTATAGAATTTTAATTTTATTTATTTACATTTTATTATTTTTTAAATTAAGAGATATGTTGCAAAAAGAATATAAATTCAATAATTTGAATTATTAATTTTATTAAATAAATTTGAATATTTTTGATTTTGTTTTTTTTTAACTTGTAGCGAAAGGAAATCATGAAAGGAATAAAAGCGCGCGTCGCGACGCCTGCGTCACGACATCCGACGTACATCCATGGCCAAGGTCCTCCCCGGTCACGGGCAATCCGTTATACGTAGCCGGGAGCCAACACTTGCTCGAGGTCGTCCATGACTATCTTATTCGCCTCAAGGTTCGGAAAAAGTTGATCTTTATAGGCAGATCCACCTAATATGTTATGAAGACATACAACGTTAGTAAAGATGAACATTGTTTTTATATAAAAATTTTTATATAAATGAATTTAGCTTGAAATATTTAAGAGAAAAAACTTTATATTTTAAAAATAAAAAAAATCAATTAAAATAGAATATTTAATTTGCATATAAATTATAAAATTCTTTTAAATTTAGTTAAATATGAAAAATAATTTTATAAATATTTATTTGAAATGGGTAACTTACAACTGTTCTTATATTATTCTTATTTATTTTACTTAAGTACTTAGTTTATATCAAATTTTTAGATTCTAATTGATTATTAATATTATTAATGATATCTGATAAGTTGTACTTATTTTAATTATAATATTATCATTCTATACAACTTTTACATCTTATTATTACATTGTTGCAAATTTTTGCATGAAAATTAAATTTTATTAATGTGAATTATTAATTTGAAAATTTTATAAATGTTACATAAACTTTTTCAATATTAAAAAAAATGTATAAATTCTTGATCTAATTTCAACAGGTGATACGTTTATTCTTTCTTATTTGATTAGATTGTGATCAATTTTCGATTTAATTTGTGACAATTATTACAAATTCATATATTTTCACATAATTTCATTAAATTACATTAAATTACATTATTTTTCATTAAAGTAAATTAAAAAATCTATCAACATTTTCTGTATGTCTAGAATTAAAAATGAAAATTATGTCCTATATATATCGATTACTATACTGTTTTTATCAGTTCCCATTATATCATATATTTATGCTTACAAAATATTTAAATCTATACTCCTTCAATCGTTTCAGAATATACTTTTCTCGAAATTCAATTTTACAAGCTATAAGATGCAAGATCGAAAAGACCTTGTAGCACTGCCTAAAAGTAGTAAATTCTTCGTTACGTCCTTAGATTTCCGGTTATTTTCTTCCCTTCCTGGAACGTATTACCGGTATCCATCCTTTTCTCACGATGGAAAAGGGGTTTGGGAGTTGATATTGGCCCATCCGGGGCGGCAAGTTCAAGGTTGCCACGTCCGGGCCACGTCCGGACATGCTAACCCAAATACGATTACGGTCTGAGTACAGTGGAGAGTCGAGACAACAAACTCGAGATCTAGTTGGAGTTTGCTAGGCCAATGGGACAAGAATCTAGCCCAATTCCTCTTCTCAGAATTACTTTCCTAAATGGATATACGGTTTCCTTCATTTCCCGCAATCTTTAAAAGATTTTGCATATCGTTCCATGATTATATAATGCTATTAATATATTAATTTTTAATTATGTAGAGTAAACTGGAATATTTTTTCGTAACAGCAATTCCATGAAATATTCATATGTCCTAACCCGATCTTCTTTAAAGTGTCTTCTTTTTTCTCTTTCTCTTTTTATTCTTTCTTTTTTTGTTGTAGAGATTCGTTTATTTTTTATTAATATTTTTCTTTCATATATAATCCTGAATAAAAGTTCTAATCTATTTATCGTGTATATTTCAATTATCTTCGCTTCGTTTATATTATAAAAATAAAATTATCAACCGATTTAAATTCTAACACAGAAATTTTTAAGTCCCGCGATTGATTGCAATTCATGCAATTGCATCATATCTACGAAAAAACAATAATGCCTGTTTCATGCCGATTACCTTGAACAACATATTTCTATGCATTATATGTACAATTTCAATTTTGCTAACTAGCAAAATCATCTAATTGATAAAATGATTGATAAGAAACATTAGACATGAACTCATTAATCGATTACATTTCAATTAGATTTAATTTCTAAATAATAAAAACCTATATTATTTATAATTGTATTTCTTCATGAATTTAAAATTCGTAATTAATAATTTTGATTTTTTTGCAGATTTCTTGGCGAGTATATTTCATAATTACGATTTTTAATCGTAATTTTACACAATGTTGATACATTATTATATATAAGAAGATACAATAGTTTACGAATTACTCGCATCATCATTGCACTTAGTCACGAGGATTATCACTTCGTAATAATGTCACCTGGATGTCTCATTACGAAACGCCCACCGAACACGCGATTCTTGGAAAAAAGCGGATAAAGCGAGAAAATATCCTTGTTTATCACTTTGAATTTTACCGAGCAACTCATGTCATGCATTATACTTATATCATCATCAATACATAATAATAATTATTGTTAATCATTTGGATGACAGATCAAAATTACAAAATTTTTCGTTATATAGTTTTCGTTTCCCATGCATAGAAGACGAAAGAAAATAGGTAATATTAATAATCATTAATAAATTTAATAGGAAAAAACGAAATATATATTGATTCATTCGTGATTTAATCATATTGCAGATTTGATAATTAGTTTCGTAAAAAACTTCAAACCATTTTGTTCTTAATCAAAATATGGTTTATCGACTGGATGATATGAAAATATGGACTTTGGAAGTGGCTTTCGATTAAAATAGCTAATGATTGATCAGGAAATCGTCTCATGGAACATAAAGTTTGTCCGCAAATTTCCTTTCCGGAAATCATTTGATTCGCCCACCATCCGGCCAGCGTTTCATGTTTCACCTCGAAACTGGAAAATATATTCGCCCTCTTTTCCTATTTTCCGCGTGGGACGTGCATTCAAGCGCGGTAACCTTGAACTTCATCCGCCTTTTCATCTCTCTCTTTCTTCTTTCTATTTTTTCTCTCCTTTTAAGTGCGATCTTTCTTCTCTTTTCTTTCCTTACTGACAATGTTCCATCTTTTTTTCTTTTCCTCTCTTCTATCTCGTTCTTCTCTCTCTCTCTCTCTCTCTCTTGTTTTCTATAACAACTTTTCTATTTTTCTCCTCTCTCTTATCTCTCTATCAACGTGCTCCGTTTCCTCTCCTTTACCCTCTCTTGTATAATTCACTGACGTCACGGTTATCGACCCGAAATCTCGAGGCTTGCTCTGTGTTTCTGTATTTCTATACACGTGAAACATTTGCACGTGTACGTTTCCCCAGATACGTTCTTTCATTTAATGCGTGTGAATTACACGCGGACTTTTGTTATTATATCATGGAGAAAATTCGCAATGATAATGAATTAACAAGTCATTAACACGATTCGTGGTTTTTTTTAGGCTTTACAATTTTGTTTCATGATTTTAATGATTTTAATGATTAATAAATGAAATAATTAGTTATAATTAATTGTTAGTTTATATTTTAAAATCTCAGAGATAAAAAATTATAGTTTAATCGTGTTAATAATCTGACGAAAAACATCTGATGAAATAACTCATACAATCAAAATTTTATAATGCAACTTTATCCATCGTGCTATTAATAAAAAAACTTGAATTACATTAATCAATTACAAAACTTTTGATTTTTTTTTTATAATTTATAACTATTAATGAGAAATATCTTCATGAACGATAAAACTTTGTTTCAAAAAATTGAAATAATTTCCAAGTCGAACATTTTCGTTTGCACTTAACATTCTAAGATTAATTTGAATAATTGAACATGGAAACGAGATTACATCATGATTATATCATCTATTTTTCCATTCTTTTATTCATACTTACTTATTCACGTAAATAACAAAATTCTATCCCTACGTCCTTCAACACAACTCTTCCGTCTATCCCGTCTATTTATATCTTACCGTGACTATTCTATAGTTGCCAAAGCAATTCATTTATGACCTTTGTGTCCAAGATATAGACTAACCATTGTATGCTTGTAGGTGATTCATCGAGGTAGCTGGATTTTGGAACACCTTCTACGTCGCGTTATGAGCGACTTTTGTTGACGTACGTGCATAACCGGCCATGCATTTATGCTCCATCAAGACGTCACGTCCTCGTGACCTGTGCTTAGTTGTGCGCACGTCAATACATGTTTATGTATACGCCGTATCAAGAAACACGTCAAGGGCACGACCGCAGAACCGAAGATTCACGATGGAAAATCACGATCGCCGTAATGAAAGAAAAAAAAAAAGAAGCTCCGCGAAAATCAGGTAAGTAAGCAATGTTTCCCGGGGCTATCATTGAAATTCAGAATAATTATTCATTGATCTCCGCTTTGCTTCTAAGTTTCGTACAACCTTAGCTTCTTCAGTTCGACTTGATCCTCGATTTAAATGGTATTAGCGAATTAATCTTCAATTTGCAGAGCGAAATAATAGTTACGTGACTGTTTAAGCTTACCATCTATGATTTACAATTTAATGAATAAGAATAAATATTATATTTATTTGAATTTATTTTTAAAAAAATTAACACTGAGTAATTGATATATTTTCTTTTTTGAGATGAAGTGTCAGATTACAATATTATATTGTTAAGTTCGTCTATCGATTTCAAATAAACCACGAACGAATCCAACAATTTCTATTTAATCATTTTAATCATAGTTAAATGCATCAATTAAATACATCGATTAAGGATCTGACAAGTAGAATAAATTTCGATGTCGTAAATAATACAGCGTGTTTCAGAATCAGAATCATCAAGGATAATCAGGTAATTTTCCAGCAGTATATCATTACATCGATAAGTATCGAATATCGTGTTTTCCTTTTTTCGCGAGTTTTATCCCGATTATGGCAGGAAATTCCGCTTTCGATCATCGGGAACAGCGTATGGACAACCTTCGTCAAGTAACAAAGGAAAGATAACGAATAATAGCGGTAATACACTGTAAACGAGGATTGTAAGAACGTTCAATCGTTCATTAACGACGAGAGACTCTTGGTTTTGACTGGAAAAAAAAAAAAAAAAAAAGGAAAAGAAAAGAAGAACGATCTGCAGCGTTCTGGTCCATTGTAACGTGTAAGTCAGGTGCAACAACGATGTGTGCGCTAGATGTCCTTGACATCCGCGGCCTTGTCAAGAATTTTTCCGCATTCGATTGTTGTTCCAAGCACGCTCCACGAACTGCAAATCGCGAGAAGAGGGGGAGTTATATACGTGGAACGAGATAGAGAGATGGAAACCGGAAGACTGGAAGAGGATGAGGAGATCGGTTGTTGAATGGCGGACGCGACTTCGACCTTCGTCGAGAGCTACACGGTAGAAAATAAAGCAGATAGAACGTAGAAAAGGTATATCATCGATTTTATTGGCTCGTGGTGGCAGGGAAACACATAGTTTGTTTTTGAATTTCAAAGCGTATACGTGTCGATCGATTTTAGGATCGTTTTAAAGTTGTTCAGGGTATACTTCGTTGATCATGTGATGATTCTAAAGTGGCGAACTGCGAAGTAGGGTACAAAGAAGAGACTGTGTCTCGTATAAAAATAGAAATTGTATTTCTTGATTTGCATTTGTAATATCACGGGACCATTCGCTAGACTATTTTTAATATAATTAATTATTATTTCAACTTGAACATAACGTATGAAAATTTGATGAATAATTGTTGTTAGATTAATTTGGACGACTTAATTGAAATCGCCAGTTAGATTAGACGATTTGTAAATAACTTATGGCTGTTAGTGTCCATTGTTAGAGAATACAATTTTTCAAAGAATTGTAAAGCTTTGAATTGAAAAGCCGTTGTTAAACGTTTACAATCCTGACTTTTCTCTCATAATCGACTACACCTGAAATTGGGAAAACATCGGGTCCTTTTGACTGGGTCGGACAATTTATTGCTCCCTCCTGAACCGTTACGCGTTGAATACTCTCAAACATTCGTCCCTGAAATCTCGTAATGGATTTCCAGGGGTCGAAGGGTAACTCGGTATGATTTGCGACCTCCGTTGCTCCGTATTATTTCTTTGCCTGTATTCTTCTCTAAAAGAAACACGCCGTGGCAAAAATATACATTTTTCTTCTCTCTCTCTCTCTCTCTCTCTTTAGATACGCCAAAGGGAAACCTTGAACCGTCTCCTCTTTGTTACGTCGAATTTATTCCAAAGTTTCAGAATCGTTCGACTCTTTCTTTAGACGCTCTGAATCATTTCGAAAAGGCGATGGCGCGTTATGAAATTTCGAAAACGTTGTAAAAATATACCGATACTTCGCGAATTCGTATCACGTTTCTTTTAACATCGTCTCGAATATCATCGAGCATCAATTCAACACGTACCCATCCATGTCATTTCCTTTCGAAATTACAAAATTTATAGATTCGTCTGGGAAAAAGAAAAAAGTAATCGAGGTATTTTCGAACTTACCTCAGCGAATAAAAACCGTGGCCCTAAAGCGTTTTTAACGCACCTTCGCGACACGAATTGCCGTATAACGGGCGCGATCTTTCCAACAATGCCTCGTAAAACGCTCGATGCTCTCTCTCTCTTTATCTCTCTCTCGTGTCATATTGCCGGTTTTAACTTTGAAACGACGACAATGACAAAGTGAACGCAGACGCGTTACTCGATCGTGTAACGAAGGATTTTGGACCACGTTCAATGGTACGTGAATCCTGCCTGTTCTTCATGGTGCTTGTGTCTCGCCGTGTCTCCCGACGCGCGCCGTTTCCCGTCCTGGCGCTAAAATACATCGAGACGTATCCGTCGAAGGTCAACCTGTTATTTAGCCGGTATTAATAACCGGTGGTTACCACGCCACAGCCAGATTTTCGTATCTGTGTCGTATCGGGGAAACACGTTTGGCTATCGGAAATAGTTGGCTTCCTGAATGAACAGTCGTCATTCGACTTGGTATACACACCAATCGCATATACGACTATCGAAAATGTCTATTATTAAGCGTGACTTCAAGGAAACTTGATCGTTCCCTGAAAATCTAGCCACTTGTTATACCATTCGCCGTACTTATTCATATATTCTTTCGTTACGCGACGATGAACGAGAATAAAAAATTGGACGATCTTTTTTTTTTTTTTAACTTTTGGCGCTTTAGAAGAAGGGGATTTTTTTTTTTCTTTTTTTGAAATTGAACATTTCAAAAGAAGCGAATATCAACTGTTTTCTTTAAGGAAAGAAAGCAAATAAAAAAACTTTTAACGATCGATTTCACGTTTTCTTTTGTGAAGTGATAAAAATATCGTCCGATTCATCGCGCTTTACATATTCATAAAGCGTCGCATGAATCGTTGCCAATTTAATCGACTTTTTTTGAAATCGCTACGAATGACATCTCAATAATTAAACGGGAAACAAGAATATCGTTTTTCGTCATGTTTCTTTCTGAAACGAAGAATCAATCATTCTCGCATCTTTGGAAGTAGTGTCGAGAGATATGGTGGGCGAAAAATTGTGCGTTGTGCCATTCCAGTTACCAAAGCCGGATTCGATTTCCGTGTGCGCGTCGCTGCGGTTATTGTTAGAACAACGAAGTTACGTGCTCGTTTACTCAAGTGGTTAATATATACCGGATTTAATATGTGAGCATGTGTGTGTGTGTGTGTGTGTGTGTGTAAAACAGAGGCCAAAGTGCACCTATGCCCGCGATTTGAGGCTAAAAACAGAGCCAAGGATATCGAGACGATAAGCAGGGATAGGGCTAATACAAGCTCAATAACGTGACCGTTCTTTTGTTGACCAAGGACTGTCATCAATACCGAGATTGTTCTTTTAGTTTCGCTTCACGATTTCGTTATGATAAATATTTTTACGATATAAAATAGATCCAGTCGATGGATAATCGACTAATTTTTTAAAAATTAAAGAAAGGAAATAATGAAATTTTTTTAAATACAAACTCGAGTTTTTATTTATTTGTTTACGAACCATTGGTTTTTCGGATGGTTTGTTGGAAATATTATCGCGAGGTAGATTTTTTTTCGATATAAAAAATGCTAGGAATCAATTACAAGCTAATAAAATAACGAATGTAGAAAAATAGTCGAATCTTCTACATGCAGAATAAAATAAAAAATATTCAAATAACTCAAAAACTTTGAAATCGTTGTTTCGAGAGAAATAGTTAAAATCGAAAATATTCTTCGCTATTTTTGCAAAAAAAAAAAAAAACCTTAAATCGATTGCTTTTAAAGATGAACGAGATTTTCCTTTTTTCGCTTCACCTTTAACCAGTTTTATAACGATCGCCTTGCTATTTGAACATTCTTGGTCAAGGCGAGGGTCGACCAAGGTAGTTCCGATGATTCGTCAAGGATCATCTTTATTCTAGAGAAAGCGACACTTTCTAGAGATGTTTACGAAAGTTATAAGGCATCAAGGGCAATATCTCGAAACCGAGTTTTCACCGCATGGAACACAGACCCTTTTGCGGTTACTTTACCCAAATCTCGAATTGATGCACGCTGTGAACGATTTGCATTACAATTTTACTCCCTTAGAGAGAACTTTTGTTTGTAAAACTTATAGGACTGGCATTCTTTCTTTTATGAAAATCTCTTGCTCCATCGATAACTGTATCCCATGCATATTTACGATTATTACAACTCTTTCGTATTATTTCGTATATTGTCGTATTCAAGGGATATTTCTCGATCGGTATTACAGGATTTAAGTGTTTGTGAGAAAATTATCAAAAAATTACAATAAAATTATTTTTAAACTAAAATATATTGTAAATATATAATATAAAAATACTTTTGTTCAAAATTTATTGTTGAATTATATGGAAATGGATCGATTATACGTATTCATTTATTTTTGCCATATAAACGTATAAGATACTTCGCAGTGTCAAACGGAATTATAAATTATACGTATGTAAACATAACACGCGTGGCGAAGAACGATTTACAGAGACGATTTGTACAGTCGGCTCGTAAACGCCATCGAGTAAATATATCGATCAGGAAGGAACGAATATAATTTTCGTCGCGCAATAATCGTGTATTTCGTATACACGTTTTACGATCCACGTTTAAAGAAGACGACACGTAATTGGATGAAGTACAATTCGTCAAGTACGTATGCCATAAATCTGACGATCGTAAATCGGTCGATTCTTTTCACTTTCGTTGAGACGAGCCGTGAAATGTGTGTCAGGGGGTCATCGGGCCATTGGCCGTGTTCCACTTTCCGAGTCCCCTTTCCCTTTTCGAGTACCACGCGTCGTCGTTCTCTTCGTGTGTGTTCGCGTTTCGATAAATATAGGGATAAATAACAGAAAAGGAAAAAGAGAAAGAAAAGAAACGGAACACCTTTTCCTTCTCACTTTTTTACGCGTTCCCGTTCGCTCGATTTCGCAATCGACATTCTTCCCTTCGTATCTTTATTTGCATTTCGAGAATTTTAAATTTCGGATTTTAACCTTTTCGCTTTTCGAGCCGAAAGTGTGTTCGATGATAGAAGTATCGCGAAAAAAGATATATCGAGATTCGAGTTATCGAAAATCAAGATCAATCGATAAATAATCGATTATTAACAATTCGAGATGTCGATATATGTAGAATTCGATTTCAGAAATACGATACGATTAACGATTTATTTTTGCGTAGATAAAAAGATATAATACTGAAATAATTGATATCCGTTTGCCCTTTCGACGTCTAATCCTTTCTTCTCCTGTTGTTACGTAAATTCATTTCAATGATGCAACAACAGTCGTTGAACAGGCTCGCAGTATACAGCATGCATTGTCACACTTTCTATCGTAATTGCTTCATCGGCAACCAGGAAGATTTATTTTCTCGCGATGCGTTTTTTAAAATAGAACATTTATGTGGGTTCATTCGATTCGATTGAAAAAAAAAAAAAAAAAGAAAGGAGGGGATTGTTTGAAAAAGTGTACGAACACGAAGGTGGACAAGTGTTGATATTCGCGTAATCAAATGGCTATTAATATTAGTCCGCCTTCCGGGAATAATTCTTTATGAAGTGAGTACAATCGCCTATGAAAATCTTGATACGATCATTTTTATTAAAGTCAAAATAACGAAGAACTTCCGTAGGAAGCGATTGTTTCGTAAAAAGAAGGTAGACATAACCTATTAATTGTTTGCTCCGTCGATATACGATACCAACAATAATGCGAATAGAAAAGATTTATCTTTCTGCTTCAAAATCTTCAAATAGAATTTGAACAATTCTAATATTTGCAAATATTTTTATTTTGATTCTTTCCCTATTCAAAATAATATATTCCATTTTAATCTAAAAATCTAATCTATTTTCTTGATACACGTATATTGTATACGTGTACCTTATCTTATCATTTAACGAGACGATAATGCACACCTATGATATCCTATAATATCCTTATCATCTGTTTCTAGGCTCGTGACTATCCGACACGGATGGACAAGTATCGCGTGTAATCGGTTGGCCATTAATATCAGTCCGCCTCCTTGATATAATTTCATCGGTCGGCGGCCACCGTTTATCCCGGAAATGGCTTTCACTTTCTCCCCCACTAGAGGCGGTAACTTTCACTAACGAGGCCTCTGCAAAACTGGCTCGTGCGCGTATGTATACACGATCGTGGGATCGGTGGAGAGGAGAGAGACAGAAGAGAGAGGACGTGTGTGTGTGTGTGTGTGAGATAGAGAGAGAGAAAAGGAAAAAGGAGAGGAAGAAAGAATCGGGTTTCTGGGTCGGTAAAGGCGAACAAAGCGATCCTCCTTGTTGTCCCTTCGTCCTCGCTCGCACGGCCTCGTGAATTTTTGTCGTGCGACGGACGGACGGAAGGAAGGATGGGATATTTCGACGATCGAAATTTCCCTTCCACTCGGATGGGATAGGATGACATTGAGAACGATTAGTGTACGATGTCGTGGAGAATGCCCGTTGTATTATACCTGGAATGTTTGAAGATACTGCGTTTGAGTCAACCGCTAAATGGTAAGGAACACGATGAAGAACTTTCCTTTGTCCTTTCGTTTTTTCTTCGACATCGTCATTTCACTCTTTTGAAGGCTACAGTTTTAAGGCTTGCTTTTTTTTTTCTCACTTTATCATCCTCGTGTATAGAACGATAGAGAGATTTGCTACTCGTGTTATTCGTGTGATCGGGTTTATTTAATTTCGTATATACTTTCTGGCTCTACGATTCAGTTTTTGATAGGCATTTAAGCTGGTTATTTATTGTTGAACATAAAATATCGAGTTTACAATTCATTCTGTGATTCTTCTTCAGTTTCACGGAGATTAAGCAAGTTCAAACTACATAAATCTAATTTCAGAAATGAATAACTTGAGAAAACGGTCGTAAAGGTATACTAAATATACTTCTTGCTAGACACAATTATGAGGGACAATTTAGGTGCCGTGTCAATAATCGTAAACGCATAAACCCGGGGCACGAGGAAGCACGCGAGGGCCACGCTCGGAAAAATGGCCTCGCAAAACCGGAAGACGACGCCCTCGTGTCTCTTCATAAGACCTGCTCATAAAGACCGGTCGATCGATACGGCCTCACTTCCTTCCTTTCTCAGAAACTGACATTTTTACAACCGTGAACAACGTTTCGAACGTAAAATTCCGTTCTCGGCCGCCATCACGACAGATGTTCTTAATTATCGTATTTAATAACGTTCCTCTATTGTACGATCGCACGACACGTGGTTATATATTATATTAGATGGAATTCATTTGTCTTTCTC